ATTTATGGTTATTATGCTGTCCTTTTCAGGTAAGGGAACTTGATTCCCATATCAAGTGGGATGACATTGAAAACTCACATCCTCTCTCTGTGTTAGATAAAGAAGCTAGAAAATCTATCAGGCTGTTCAAGAAGGCTATTATCCGGCGGAAGTGCTTAGAAGGAAATGGGGTAAAATACCTTCTTGATTTTGGCAAGAGAAGAGTTATCCCTGACATTGTCTTAAGAAATGGCTCCATTATTGAGGAATCCTCTAGCGAAAGGAAGAAATATTGGTTGAGTGAATCATATGTGCCCTTACATCTGATGAGAAGTTTTGAAGACAAAAGGGTTACCCGCAAGTCTGTTAAGATAAGTTCTGTAAAACTTTCTGAGTCTGGTGGACCAATGAAAAATTTTTCTAAGAAAAGAGGGTTCTCATATCTTTTCTCCAGAGCCGAAAGATCGGAGAACTATAAGTGTGGGCACTGTAATAGAGCTGTCCCTATCAGGTATTCAATTCCTGTCTTAGTCATTATAACTTTTGTTTATTTCCTGTTCTATTGTAGCGAACATTTTGATTACTGTGTTGGAATGTAGCCTGAATTCCATGAGCAGATTGGAGGGGGTAGTTCCACATTTTATTTCTGTTAATGATGTTTCTGGGGTCCCAGTATGCATTCTTATGCATACATTTCTTACTTCTAATGGTTTGTGCTTGAAAAAATTAATTAAAAAAGAAGAAACAGTTTAGAGCCTATTCCTATTCTAAATGAGCCTGTAGCTCCTTTTAAAAGGAATTATTGCTAGAAAAAACAACTTGTGTCTTATGTCCAGATTGACAAGTATGATTTTCTAATAGTCAAACATACATTTTCTTCTCAGCTTCAAGAGAAACATATTTGAAGATCAATTTTGTTTTTCTTAAGTTTAACCTAAAATCTTCATTGGTGGAACAATACTGTGGCCAAAGAACTGCAGTTTTGTAATGAGTTGTCATAATTGTTTCTATCTTTGTAAATGTGCTGCTGAGACGTGTAACCATATTCTCCTTTGGTGTCCTGTGGCTTATGATTTTGTGGACTATGGTGTATAATCTCCTGGACATCAAGTGGGCAATTGCTGGGTCGGTGAGGGATGAACTGTGGGCGTGGAAAGATTTTTATAAAAAATAAAATTTGCAAAGTTTCTTTCTTTGACTATTTTTTATGTCATTTGGAAACAACGTAATAGGAGGGTTTTTGATGGTAGAGAAGGTGAGATGATAAAAATTAGGGATAAATGGTTTCATTTTTTTGGTTCTTTGATTTTGTGTTTTGACATATATAGGAATGATGATTTTGGGAATGTTATTGACATTATTACTTCTTTGTAAATTTTTTGTACAAGAATGGCACCCCCTTGGGTGCCTTTTAATATACTTTACACTTTCTATCTCAAAAAAATAATTGTTTCTATGAGCTGCTTAGGTCCTATTTTGGTGCATCATTCTCAGATGATCTTAATGTATCTGTGAGCCTTTGAGGTGCTATTTTGATTCAAAATTTTGAAAATTTCTTTTTGAAATGGCCTCATTACGGTGAAACTCAGTTGCTTTTCTGAAAGTTCGACTTCTTGGGGGTTACTAGGTGGAATTTGCAAACTAGCTTAGGAGTTTCAGAATCAGATTGCCAGAGGGATGATTTCCTGGTTTCAACCCCTGAATCAAGTTTTATCGAATTGGCTTCTTTTCCAGTAGGCTAATTTTGTGTAGCACATTTAGAGATTGGTTCTACTTGTTTGCTGTGATATTAATCTCTCTCCTTTTTTTGTTCCATTTATTTGCTGGGATATTAATCTCTTCTCTTTCTTTTTTTTGGTATCTTTCCTTTGGGAAAAATTGGCAGGGAAGCAGTGTGTTGCCAGTACTGCGAAGGTGAGTAGCTTTGTGTCCCTGAATTACTGTGTAATAACACAATTTGTTCTTTCATAGCACAATATTTTTTAGTACTCATGGACTTGTCTTACCAGTGTCCTTTTTCCATGCATCTTACTTGTAAAAGACCCCCACTGAAAAGCAGGGATATGTTTTCTTATTTTTTTTTTTTTGTTTTTCGGGGTGGGGCTGGGGAGTGGGTTGGGTGGGTAGCTGTTGATTTGACGGGGAAAGGATGCAAGGGAAATCCTCGGGCGCCTATGATCGTTACATTGATGCGATACATGTGTTATGGAATGTTTTAGAATCTTTGATTTGATATGTTTACTTTCATTCGGTTACCCATTTGATCTTCTATCTGTTATCTTCTGTATGAAAATGACCAGTGCTTATTTAACATCCTCTTCTGTATGAAAATGATGCATGGCATCCATATCCAACTTGATGTTTTCTTCCCATTTATTTGCAACTTTATTTTTAAATATGTCATTCAGTATGTTAAATTATCTTTCTTGCTGGTACTGGGCCATGGCAGATGCATTGATCTAGTCTTTCAGCAGTTGTAAGCTTTTCCTCATCCAAACTAGTGGAGAAATCATTACCTGTCTTTGAGTTGGCATTCTGGATCTTTGAATCCAAGCTCAAATGTTATAAAACATTTAACGAGCCAGACTCAGAAAACTGTATGATTTTTCTGATCTGCCTTCTGCAACACTATGAAATCTTTTGCCAGAGCCCCTTTCTACAGCTCACTTTGCTCTTATGCATAAATCTGTCTGAAATACAGTTAGCATTTGAGATTATGATTGAAGCCGTTAATTTTATTATTTCTTGTATGAACGTGTTATAACTAAATAGTCATATGATCATTTCTGTGCACTCCCAAATTTGAGATGTCAATGTTACTCTTTTAATTTCAGGGTTTTTCCACAAAAGACATGTCAGAAAGTCTGCTGGAGCAATTGTTTCTGAATGCACATATACATGCCACCGATGCGAGAATAGAAAACTTGTGAAGATTAGGAAAAACATAGGGAACAGTGATGGGAGAGGGAAAAGAGGCCGGAAAAGTTTGAAAAATCAACCACTAAAACAGAAAAAGGTTGCTACAGCTTGTAGGTCAGTTCGGCTAAAGAACAGCAAAAAACCGCTGGTCGGAGTGCGGTCTCTGCGTCCACGAAAGAACAAAAAGGTTGCAGCAACCTTACCTTTGCGTCGTTCTGCTAGGAGAGCCCAATACATTTCAAAGGAAGAAAATATTAGGAAGCCTGAAGGACACAAAAAAAGGGGACGAAAACCCAAAAAGTTTTCTGAAAAACAAAAGAAGAGTGTCTCTTGCCAGAAGAAGAGAACGTTGGTTTATCATAGTTACTGGCTTAATGGTCTCCGTTTGTCCAGAAAGCCAGATGATGAAAGGGTGATAAAATTTAGAAAAGAAAAATAATTTGCCCCATCTCAGAACTCGAATGGATTCCGTGATCAACCTAAATGCTCTATTTGTCAGGAAGCAGGATCTTCATCTGGCTTCAGTTACATTTCTTGTGAAATTTGCGGAGGTAATTAACGTTAATTTAGAATACTTTAGTGCATAAAATTGCTTTTAGTTATGCTCTCTATATCATAATATATTGTCCCGGTTTATCTAATGCAGAGTGGTTCCATGGAGATGCTTATGGACTTAATGCAGAGATCACGCATAAGTTGATTGGATTTAGGTGCCATGTGTGTCGTAAGAGGTCCCCTCCTGTATGCCCTCATTGTACTGAAGATCATCGAAGTTTGTCTCCAGTTGAAGAGAGTACTGATAAGAATGGCCTAAAAGATGTCGTCTTAGATAAAAACCGGGGTCTTGTGTCCCAGTTGGAGTTGGAAGTGGAAAATGGAGAATTACTTACTAATGAGAAAAGGAGTGCTGACGCACTAAAAGTTTCTAACAAGGATCTACAATCAGATATAAATCTACAGTCAGAGATACTAACATCTAACAAGAATTTTATGTTGGAGGATAAAGTGATTTCATGACATGATGTTACAGCTGTTTCATGTGATGAGGCCGAGCCTCCTTCCAGCATTATTGATGTAAATGTGATAGATACTAAATTGGGATCATTAGGATATAATAATTCAAAGGAGGATGTAATGAAGATATCAACTATCCTATATTTCCCATTGGACAGAGCCATTTTGGAGACGGTTGAGTTGAATCCACAAACATGTATGGTATCGGGTGAATTGTTCGGGAGAGAATGAAAGCAATGTAGATTAGATTACAACTTACATTTGAATTGGTGTAGCAAGACTTTGTGTAGAGAGTAGAGGTATTTGCAAGGCTAAATTACCTTTGTCTTTTAATGTTATTGAAACTCATGTTAGATTTCATAGGTACAGTGATAAAGATTCATTTGAAAATGAAAATAAAAGTTCATTTGGAAGCCATAGATCTTTTCATGACCTTGGTCAGTATTGAGGTTGTTCTCTTGATCAAATTGCTTCTAAGATTGGAAAAACCGCTTAAAGGCTGATGGATTGCTTTTCCTGGGAGGAATTTCTAGATTCCGATCCAGGTATGAAGCTTTTCTGGCTGGCATTTAGTTTGCTATGTCCCACAGCTTGCTAAACCTAAACCTTGTCATGAATTTGTAGTTGGCACAAGAAGGGATAATGTCTGATAACAAAGCTTGTCAATGGATCAATGTGTTACAAAGTGGAGTGGTAATATCTTACACTAGAACGTACTTACGTATTATGCATTTAAAATATTAATGTCCTACATTCATCAACGCAGGCTTCCCATGCACACGTGCTTTTTCTAAAAAGATTTTTTTGTTCATATGATTTGAACTATATTTCAAGAGAATATTTTTTGTTGCATTTTCACTTTTTATTTTTGTTTCATGCCTTTTTTATTCTTGCAATTGAGGAAATTATCTAATGCCGTAAATCCTCTTTTCTCTCAGCATTCATTTCCTTCTCATATATGAAATGGTTATCTGATTGCATTAACATCGTATTCCTGCAGTTAAACAATTTCTGTCACATCCCTCTCACATGCATTGCATTTTTTTATCGTTCAGAGGAAGTGTTGGTTTGATGTTAATACTTTCATATGCCTGTAAACAACTTTTACTGTAGTTGAGATGACATGCTGGTTTGATGTTCATGTTTCTACTATCACACAGTTTTATTTCATAAACAATTTGAGTGTAATTAGGATGAAATGTTGGTTTGATTTTTGATGACTTGTTAACTCTTTAAGTTGCTGTAAAAGTTCAAAAAGAACAGCCACTGGGAAATTTACTATTATGGCTGCATCTACAATTTCAGGTTTCTGTGCGCGACTTCTGTGCTATTTGTCAATTTGTGTTGACGCTTTAGTTCTTGATATTTTTGTGGGTCTTTTATATTTGGTACATTCTACAATTTTGCCTCTTTCCACTCATTTTCTGAGGTAATATTTCTAAAATATTTGAACTGTTTGATCCCTTAATTGTTACTTATTTTGCATGTTGGTCTAGTTTCAATTTCATTTTTTTTATTATCTTAGATGGTCCCTTCCTGTTTATTCTTCCAGTTTCATTCTTGTCATGCCTTTTCTATTCTTGCAGTCAAGGAAATTACTACACATCCCCTTTTCTTTCAGTATTCCTTTCATTCTCACTAACAACTAGACCGTTGAGATGAAATCCTGGTTTTGATGTTCATAGTTAAGATGAAATGTAGCTCTGGTGCTTGATAATTTTCATTAACTGTTTAACTGGAAATGTTGAAGAACTTATAAAATTCTGGAAAGAATAGCACAGTGTATTGCTGCATCCAAAATTTCAGGGTTCAGCCAAAGGCTGCCCCAAATTCCACTTTCTGTGATTGAATTGCTGCTTTTATACCGAGTGATTTTGTTGATCTTCCATATCTTATAACATTCCACGCTAATTTACAGTTTCATTTTCTTTTTAAGATCTTGCTAGTTCGTTCCCTTTGTTTATTTGCTGGACATGGCAGCTACAACAGATGCCTAGTTGCTCTTTCCATAGAACTTCTTCCTTTCAGGATTTTTATTTAGCATAACATCAGCTAAAGTATATGTTACTGTAGAAAGAACAAAGCCTATGTCTCAGTTTTAAAGATGTTGGCATGTCTTGGCTTTGGGAACCTGGCCCATGGTTGAGCCAAAATATGAAGTTATGACACAAAATTACGGGGTTCTGCAACTTATGCTTACTCCACTCCCCCTATTTTCACGATGGACGATTGAAAAATTTACTGTTTTAGATGAAAAAGAAAGCTTCAAATTAGTAAAGAAAAGTGATAGAGTTACAATTTAGACATCTTTAAGGAATTATTTCTCATTGTCTTCTAATTGCCAGTCTTTCGCTCTCACATAATCGTCTGTCTACATCTTGTTGATGCTCATCTGCATCTCTCCAATTTTTTGTGACACACAACTCGAGCGTTTTTGAGATCATCTTGCTTATATTGACTAACACTTTGATGCCTAAAGTAAAAAAGGATTCCGAAGAAAGTTTATTGAAGAAGATAAGTTAACATTTTGATACCTATAATACATATTTTTTATAGCAAATATTTATCATGATAATGAATTGCGATCTCAGTAGATTGATGAATTACGAATAAAAATAACTAATGAAATAAAATATAATTAAATATTTACTGAACAGAAGTACAAATATTGATACATAGACAAAGAGGAAAACCTACCGATAGAAGCACCAGCTTGTACTAAATCTTCTATAATCACATTGATTCAGCAATTAACAAGTTTTGAAGGGCTACTTTTCCAAAGTTTACTTCTCTAATAAAGCAATATAATTTTTTTGATGTATAACATAACTGAAAGAGGTCTCAAGGAAGTGGAAAAAGTACTATAGAAAATAAATTATTATTTTATTAGATAATCAGTAATTTTCTTATGATATTTATAATGTTATAATTTAATTTTCGAACACTATACTTAAAAATTATTATATAGTAATTACGAAGGTTAAAAATGATTTTTTCTAAAAAAAATATCAAAAGTATTTTCAAATATGACTATTGAGAATAATAAAAATAAAAAATAAATAAAAAGAACATATTAATAAATTAATTTCTAAAATTTGATATTTATTATAATTTGATAATAAATATTTTTTTTAACTATAATTTCATTCTTTAAATTTTTCATTTGTTTTAAATTATAATTTCTTTTTATTTTGTGGTATAAAAAATTAAAATAGCTATATTATATTTGAAATTTTAAAAATAGTTTGAAAGAATAAATTTAATTAATTAATTAAATTAATAATAATATAAAAGTATTTTTTTATTATTAATTAATTTCATTTTTTTAAAATATCAAATATGATTTATTTATTTAGTTTTTTTTTGTGATAAAATATAAAAAAATTAATATTTATAGCTTATAAAAAATATTATTAATTAATTTTAACGAAAAATATTAGAAATCAAATTCTTACAATTACCAAAATTCAAGAATTGTCTAAAGAAAAAACACTAATTTCTAAAGGTCATTTCCCTCATTTACGAGCCGGGCCGGATAATCCGGACCGACCCGACGCGCCAACGAACGACATGCCCATTCGTAACAGATAAGGGACGAAAAAGGAGGGAGAGAACTCAGAGAAGAATCCGCTCTCTCTCGCTCTCTCTCGCTCTCTCTCGCTGTCTCTTTCCTTTTTCTCTCTCTGTTTCGATGGCATTTACACTGTCTGCTGCAACTTTTACATGTTTCTCTCAGCAGCTGCAATTCCCTTCACTTGTTCCATCGTTGAAGTCATATCCTCTTCTCTTTTCTTTCTTCTCCACTTCGTCTTCTTCTTCAACTCGAAGGAAACGCATCAAGTGTGCGGTCAGTGTTCGTGCTTCTGCGACTGCAGCTGTAGAATCCGGAAATGGCGCTGTTCTTACGGAGGAGAAGCGTGACACCTCTTCCTACGGTCGACTGTTCTTCCCATTGGCTGCTGTTGTTGGCCAGGTCTTGTATTTGTTCTCTGTGTGTGGTGTTTTGGTTGTTAATTTGACCTACTTTCTCATATGGTAGGCGGTACATGGTGGTTGAGAATGCCAACTGTTTTACAGGATGCAATTAAAACTGCTCTTCTGCTTGGGGCTATTGATCGTGAGATTGGAGGGATTGCTATCTCAGGAAGGAGAGGAACAGCTAAAACAGTAATGGCACGTGGATTACATGCAATTTTGCCTCCCATTGAAGTAGTTGTTGGTTCTATTGCAAATGCAGACCCCGCTTTCCCCGAAGAGTAAGGGGATCAAGTTACTGTGATTTATTTCCGTGCGGGCACTTGGGCGATTAGCACTTGAATTCTTTAGTTTGTTAATTCTATTGATTCTTTCGTTTTGATAAAGTTCGGAGCTGCATTTCCTTATTCTGTTGCTTTCTTTTATCATATGTGTCTTGCATTTACGTATGCTGTTGTTTGTGGGTAGAGATTTCAACATATACCAATAAGGTGAACTGGTCTTTAACCATAAATAGAAATTAGTGGAAAAATGGTTGAGAAGTTAGTCAGAAATTCATCAGAGGAACGATTGCTGATGTAAGTAATAGCTTTAGAGAGAATTATGTGATTTTTTTTGTGTCTTGAAACAGTAACTCTGCATAGTTCTGGGAACAAATTGTTTGTTGCTATGTTGTGATTGCAGAGCATTTTCAGGTTTCGGATCTTGAAGGGAAAGGGAGGGTTCAAACCAAAAACTTAGGCTGTCAATTTAATTACGGCTATGTTTGGAACAAGTGAACAATTCTTTTCAGAATTCATTTAAAAATCGTCACTTAATTCAGTTAGTAAAAATTGAAGGTTTGTTAAACGAAAATTAAAAATAATCTCTTAGGAATTTTCATGTGGAGTTGAATTCTCTATAATGTCAATTTTTATTCTTTTAGATGGCATTTTCACTATCTACTAGTTAACAAAATGTGAATTTCTAAATGACTTCTCAAAAATAGTTCATCTGTTCCAATGATGACCTAAGTGTTTACCTCTTCAGTTTATTTAGATTCTAACACAAATTTTCGTTGACGTTCAAGTATGTGGCTAGTAGCATATTATAATGAATGGAATTTGACATTGTAGCTAATAGCATATTGTAATGAATGGAACTTGACATTAGAACTCAACGGAAGAGCAGCTGTGGTGGAAGTATTAATTGTTAGTGCTTTTCAGATCTACTAGTCAAATTAAACATCTTTAATTCCATTAAAAAAATTTGTGAATTTCTAAATGACTTCTCCAAAAATAGTTCATCTGTTCCGATGATGGCCTAAGTTTTTACCTCTATAGTTTATTTAGATTTTAACACAATGTTACATTGACGCTCAAGTATGTGGCAAATTGTATATAGTAATGAATGGAATATTGACATTAGAACTGAAAGGAAGAGCAGCTGTACTGGAAGTATTAGTTCTTAGTGCTTTTCATATCTCCTAGTCGAAGTAAATGTCTTTAATTCCATTTTAAAAAAAATAACATAACCTGAGTTTTTTCTATACAATTTATTTAGTCCTTTTACCCACAATGTTTTGGTGGCACTCAAAGTATTCAAATGTGGCAACTGGTGTCTAATCATGAAAGATATATCTATGACAGATTTAATTTGAGCTGAAAGCCAGAGCAGCTGTAGTGGAAGTTTCTGATTGTGGATGATTTTTGCTGTTTCCTAATTGAGTGAAAGAACAACTTTTCTCATTCGTTTGACGGTAAAGGACTTATTCATTCAGTTTTTATTTCTAAAGGTGGGAAGATGGCTTAGCTGAGCAAGCAGAATATGACTCTGATAGTAACATTAAGACTCAGATCGTCAAATCGCCTTTCGTTCAGGTATATTTTATGAAAAAAAGGGGGCTTTGAAATTCTGTCTTCTTTTTTATTCCTAAACTATCCTTCTATGTACATGCTACAGATTCCACTTGGAGTCACAGAGGACAGACTCATTGGATCTGTTGATGTTGAGGAGTCTGTGAAAACAGGAACAACTGTTTTCCAGCCAGGGCTTTTGGCTGAAGCTCATAGGGGTGTTTTATACGTAGATGAAATCAATCTTTTAGATGAAGGCATTAGTAATTTGCTTCTTAATGTCTTGACCGAAGGGGTGAATATTGTGGAAAGAGAGGGAATCAGTTTTAAGCACCCATGCAAGCCACTTTTGATAGCTACATATAACCCAGAAGAGGGTGCTGTTCGTGAACACTTATTAGATCGTATTGCCATCAATTTGAGGTATTAATTGTATAATGATAGTACCATGAATCCTGTATCTTTAACTTTTTATTTGTATTACAACACTAATATGGCTCTCATGCAGTGCAGATCTTCCAATGACTTTTGAAGACCGTGTTGCAGCAGTTGGAATTGCAACACAGTTTCAGGAGCAAAGTAATGAAGTTTTCAGAATGGTTCAGGAAGAAACAGAGTATGCAAAGACCCAGGTGACCATACAATAGTGGCCAATTTTTGCGAGTTAGATGTTTTTGCGAACTCAGAGACAGACACACCCGTGAGCACATATATGCATGATGCATACATGCACATGTATGCTTATGTGTGTTTATGTAGTTATCCAATTTCTTCATATATGTTTATAAAATGTGGTTATTATCATTTCTTTCAATGTATATATGGGGAGCAATAAACACATAATACTAATTCATCTACTTGCTTGTTCTAAGGTGTACATTGTTAGTTTCTTTTGAATCGAAATTTATTTTCTACTGGAAAAAATAGTAGTTCATCCATTAATCCAAAAACAATGTGCAAATAGGAAGGTTCTTTGATGCTTCGATGGCCTCTGTATGATTACCAAGTTTTTTCCTTACTTTAAAATGATAAATGGTACTTGGAATGAGATTCCAGAGGCAAAGGTAGGAGGAAGTTTTTCTCCTTCATTTCCCATGCCATTTTTTGGGTCACTTGAAAAGAGAGGAAAAATTAGAGCATCTAAAAAATTCTTCTTCGCCCCTTGTTTAGAACCAGGATCATTGGCATTTTTGCCTAAAGGTCATCCTTTTTGTGTGGGAGCTAATTTTGTTTTTCTTATAGATCTTTTCTCTTTGGGAGAAATATAAATATTTTTCTACATAGTTACCATTCCCTTGGTGCCTTCTAATGTCATCGTCTTTTTCTTAAAAAGAAATGCAGAAAATGGTATCTTATGTCTTCATGCCAAATTGTGTTAGTTGATGATATTCCTGGGCTGCTGTTTGAAGCTTTTCAGTTTTTTTTAGTTGTGCTTTTGACATTTTAAGTTGATCTTTCCGGTTAAATAATGCTTGATTATTTGCATATATTCATGTGTTTTAGATTATTTTGGCAAGAGAATATCTGAAGGATGTTACGATTAGCAGGGAGCAGTTGAAGTACCTGGTGATGGAAGCTCTTCGAGGTGGTTGCCAGGTGCTAATCCTCAAAAGTTTCTCAATTTCTACTAAATGCCTGTGTATATTTTGTTTATTGGCCCTTCTGGGAAAAAAATTGATCTGATTCTACCAAGTGAAAGCTTGAGAAAAGCTCGTGATATTGTTATTGCCTCATTTTTTTTCCCTGAAAGTCTATTTTAGAAGTTGACTCTTGGTCCCTAAATTTAGCTAGAGATACAGGAGAGACTGGTCCATGCTTTCTATATAACTGCCAGATAATATTTGTAGTTTGGTTTGCCATCTAGTTCTTTGATTAGTCTTTATGGATAGGCTGTATGTATAGATGGACTATCACCTCAGTTTTCCCATGAATGGTGGTTATACCTGGACATGAGATATTGAACTTTAGAAGAAACAAAATATTTTTGGATTGAAATATGATTCATAGCTTTTTACTGAAATTTTTATAAAGCTTTGGCATTTATCATGGTAATAACTATCTCTCATGAGAGTAAAATTCCCGGAGATGGAAAGAGAGAAAAATCAGGGAGAAAAAGGGAAAAAAAGC